CAGCCAGAGTAGACAATACGGACTTTGATTGACCAGTGGTATGATTCAGTATAAGGCATACGTTCGCGTGTTCACGTGCTCGATGGTATTATTCCAGAGAGACCACGCATCACTACTGAGCCCCGGGATGTCGACGTCGCCCTTGGCAACACCGTTTATTTCATCTGCAGGGCGGAAGGGAACCCCAAGCCCAAGATCATCTGGCTCCACAACAAGTAAGTCTCTGGAGGGAGCCTCAGCCGGCAACGCTTCTGGTGATGCCCGCGCTATCAGTTGAAGCTGAGTCAGATATGGTTGGACGGCTATGGCTTCCCTCAAAGAATTCTGGGAATTGTAGTCTGGTGAGAGTAGCTTGTTACCCTTATTAGAGAAGCTCCCTTTTTGGGCATTGTGACAAGGAGACTAGGTCGAGATTGATTTCGGTTTGCTCATAGATTTGCTCAGGGCTCTTTTTGTAGAAACAGACCAGCAGGAACTCATTAGCATAACAGGCCACACCCAGCAGCAAAACCCATTAGCCTATTAGGCCACACCCTGACAGCACCGCTCATTAGCACATTAGGCCACACCCCCATGTTACCAGAAGTGTGGTCATCCAGCGACACCCACCTTTCCCTTCTTACTCTGTTTACCTTGTTTGTTGTCAGAACCCAGGGCTTTTCTTGTTGCAGGAACTCCTTTGCATGTTAGGCCACACCCCTAATGTAGCCAATCCTAATGAGTCTCTGCTGTTGGGTGTGACCTATTATGCTAATGAGTTCCTGCTGGGCGTGGCCAACTCAGGAGCCTGCCGGAACTCCGTTCCTGTGCGTTCCTGCCCAAAAATAGCCCTGGATTCGCTCATTGCTAACAGGCAGGGGGAAATTAAAAAATGGCTTGCTCCCCTTTGGCTTCACCAAACTGAGGGTCAGATTTCATGATTCTTCGTAGGGATGCCAGCCTCCAGGTGGGGCCTGGAGAATCCAACAGTATTACAGCTGATCTCCAGACTACAGCGATCAAATGTCCTGAAGAATGTGGATGCTTTGGAGGGTGGACTCCCACTGAGGTCCCTGTCTTCCCCAGGCTCCATCCTCAAACCCTCAGGAGTTTCCCAACTTGAATCTGGCAACCATAGCCCCCATCCCCTGCCCGTGGCCCTTCACTCGGAGTCTCAGAGCGGCTTACAAACTCCTTTCCCTTCCCCCTCCCCTCAACAGACACCCTGTGAGGTACGCGGGGCTGAGAGAGCTCTGAGAGAACTGCTCGTGAAATAACAGCTCTGACAGAACTATGGCTTGCCCAAGGTCATCCAGCAGCTGTAAGTGGAGGAGGGGGGAATCAAACCCGGTTCTCCCAGATTGAAATCCGCACACTTACCCACTACACCAAACTGGCCCTCTCCAAAGAAAAGAAGGAGAAGGAAGTGGGTGGGTATCAAGAGGAACACTTCCGCTGAGTCCTCACTTGGCCTGTGGCCAAACCTCTCCATATCTCAGTTCACCTCATAATAAGGTGAAGGCTACTGACCTGGGAGTGGTTCGTGTTCTACATGTAATCACCCCTGTCCTCTTACTCGGGATGCACGCGGCTGGGGGGGGGGGGTGGCAGAGT